GAAGCACCAAATAAAGGGTGTCTGGAGGATCCTCCCAGGAGGGGAGAGGCATGTTGAAAGTAGACTATGGACTGAACATGTTTGCCACTCAATGCCTCTTTTGCAGACCACAAAACCCAAAAGAATAGAACAAAAGGGAATGCCTTGCCACAGAGGCAGGGTGGGATGGGGGATGGGGGTGGCAGCAATATTATCCATGGTGGTGGAAATGGGCACTGGTGGAGGGATGGGTGTTTGATCATTGTATAGTCGAGAACCAAGCACAAAAATTTGTGGATCTACAACTACCTCATGGTGTTTCACCAATAAAAAAAAAAAAGGGGGGGGGGCTGGAGCGATAGCACAGCGGGTAGGGCATTTGCCTTGCACGCAGCCAACATGACCGACACAGGTTCGATTCCCAGCACCCCATATGGTCCCCTGAGCACCGCCAGGAGCAATTCCTGAGTGCATGAGCCAGGAGTAACCCCTGAGCATCGCCGGGTGTGACCCAAAAAGCAAAAAAAAAAAAAATAAAAAAAAAATAAAAATAAAAAAAAAAGGGAAAAAAAAAGAAAAGATGAAGTCATGAAATTTACATACAAGTGCTACTACATGGAAAGTATCATGTTAAGCGAAATGTGTCAGAAAGAGAGGGATAGACATAGAAAGATTGCATTCATCTGGGGAACATAAAGTAACAAAATAGGAGACTAACACCCAAGAATGGCCCAGATTAGTACCAGGAATTTTGCTCCATGGTTTGGAGGTCAGTCACACATGCCAGGGGTAAAGGCAACTCAGATAAAGAAGGGAGCATCAAATAAAGGGTGTTGGGAGGATCCTCCCAGGACGGGAGAAGCATGCTAAAAGTAGACTGTAGACCAAACATGATTGCCACTCAATGCCTCTTTTGAAACCACAACATCCAAAAGAGGAGAGAGAACAGAGGGGAATGCCCTGCTACAGAGGCAGGGTGGGATGGGGGGGATGGGGGGATGGAAGGGATACTGGGATCCTTGGTGGTAGGAAATGGGCACTGGTGGAGGGATGGGTATTTGATCATTGTATAATTGAAACCCAAGCACAAAATTTGTAAGTCTACAACTGTACCTCATGGTGTCTCACTAATTAAAAATAAATAAATAAATAAAAGATTAACAACAAAAAAAAACTTTTTGAGGCCTTTGAATGGAAGTACTGCTTTGGCACACATTGGATAATGTTGCTACCAAGTGGAAGACATGTGCTCTTCCCACTTCTAGAGGAAGCTGGTGGAGTTCAGGACACAGTCCTTACTTAGGAACCACAAAATTATGGCTTATGTCTGATGCACTGAGCCATTTTGCTGGACATTTTATTTCAACTTAGAGACCATTAAGTTTTCTGACCCTGCAAAGGGAATGGAAAAGATAGAGCAACAGTAAGAAAAGTGGTCCATGTCCTGAGCCCTACAGTTCTAAAGAGGATATCTAAACAAAGTATGTCAGTCGGGCCTATGGTGAATCCACGTGTCAAGTGTGTCTGAGACAGAATCAAGTGTGCTTTCTCTAATGAGCAGAAAATCATCTTGAAAGTGTTGAAGGCACAAGCACAATCAGAAGGCAAAATAAACAAAGCTTTTGTGTAAAGAAAAAAAAAAGTGCTATGCGGTATGGCTGACAATCCCCAGCAACACAGAAGATGCCCTGAACCCTGCTGGGAATGACCTGAGCGCAGAGTCAGGTTTAAGTCCGAGAACAGCCAGCTGTTTGGCACTCCCGAAAGTGGTGATGTGCACATCCACTGAGCTGAGGACTCTGGTGAAGAGTCTGTTAGGAGATAGGGATGTAGAAAAAAGACACACAGCTGGACTTAAGCCAGTTAAATTTCTTTATTTCAAGGATGAAAACAGAACCTTACAAACACCAAGGTAGGAAATAAGTTAACTAGATGGAAAAAAATTTCTGCAACCTCAATTTTTTAGCCATTTGAGAAAAAAAATATGAACAATATTTTTACCCAAATATCCTGTTTAGCATGAAAGAAAAATTTTAAATAAGGATTTAGAAAATATATCTCATATCCACCTTAGCTTTCCTAAAAAAAAATTAACTATTTGAGAACGTATTCTTCAAACCAAATTAATATGAAGAATTGAAAAGTCACTGTACTTAGATCTAAATAATTTGATATTGTGATGGTCAATATCACAATGTCAACTGCCTGAAAATTAATTCTGAATATTGAAAACAAATGATGTATTACTATGGAAGAGATTTTTGCCAGTACTTTAAGGTTCCTGCTGAATTTGTATCAGTTTCTAAAATAATAGTCACTGCATCACCGTGGCCATGCTACTAACCTGCAAAGGCCCTTCACATTTCTTCTGCTGCCTTTTCCCCTCCTTATCCCTACCTCTCAATCCCTCCAACTATTTTTTGAGTAGCCCCAGTATCTCAAATTCCTTCCTCCTGTAACATACTTTCTAACCCTCCTCTAGGATTAGAATCCCAGGAGTGGCTTCACAAACCCTTAAGTTAGTAAATCTATCAATGTCTTTAGTTAAAGAAAAGGACCTTCTGAGAATCTTTTAGGAAAACTCATTCCTTTTCTAAGTCCTGATTTAGTAACATCTGGGGGTGGGATGGGGTGGGCACACCCAACTGTGCTCAGGGATTACTCCTGACAGTCCCCAGGGAACCATATGTGCTGCCGGGACAGAACCCAGCTCAGGCATGGACAGGGGGAGACCTCTACTCTCTCGACTCTCCCAACCCCAGTCACTTTTGTGGGGGTCAAATCATTTACATCCCACTACTTCTATTTGTGCCAGGGGCTTCTATTTTGGGGTTACATCTAGCCGTGCTCAGAGCTTACTCTTGGCTCTGTGCTAGGGATCATTCCTGGCAGGGTCTGGAGGATGCTGGGGGGGAGGTGGGTGGAGGGAGGATGCCAGGGATTGAATCGGACTGGCTATGTGCAAGGCCCTACTAGCTGCCTCGGGATTGACGAAGCAAGATTGTCAATTTTTTTTGTAACTGTTTCAGATATCATTGGTATGTAAAATAAAATCATAACCTATATTCCTCTTTTAATACTTTTAACCTGAAATTACATGCTGACATAAATATGCCTCTACCAATTTTGTTTTTCCATTCAACTCTGCAAGTACAATTGTGCTTTTAGTTTTGTGTATCTTTTGCTGATGGGCTGGAGCGATAGCACAGCAGGTAGGGCGTTTGTCTTACACGTAGCCGGCCGGGGCAAGCCGGGTTCGATTTCTCTGCCTCTCTTGGAGAGCCGGGCAGGCTACCTAGAGTATCTCGCCCGCACAGCAAAGTCTGGCAAGCTACCCATGATATATTCAATATGCCAAACACAGTAACAACAAGTCTCACAATGGAGACAGTACTAGGCCCGCTCGAGCAAACTGATGAGCAACGGGAGGGCAGTGTTACAGTGTGTTGCTGATGATATACAGCTGCAGAATTTAACAACTCCATTCAGGATATTTAGTAAGTTTATAATTTGGTATTACTCTGCCATTTTATGCTTCTTTGCAAGTAACTAGGCCTCTTCCATTTCCCCTGTTCTTAGATGTTCAAGAATCTTTTTAATTTTTTTCTCCTATTGGTTTGGATGGGGTGACTACTAAACAGAAAATTTTCATTTATATGTGAGCATGTAATTTTTGGGGTTGGGGCCTGCCCAGCGGTGCTTAGGCATCATGCCTGTCAGTGTTTTGGGGATGACATGTGGTGCTGGAGAGGGAACCAGGGTCAGCCACATGCAAGACAACCCCCTGTACTATATCTCCAGCCCCAACTTAGCATGCTTTAAGTTAAAAAGTATTAACATGGCCTAGTTAAGACTACAAAGCTTGCATGTTCTTACATCTTACTTCCCTTCAACTGATTTCCTCTTTGGGTGGGATTATCTGGAATATAACAGTAAATTGAATTATGGGTATTTTTTTCTGGGGTGCAATTCTTTTATTCTTGATCCTTGGGTTACATTTGGTGTTGCTCCAGGAAGGGGGTCAAACTAGGGCTGGGCTGGCCTTGTGCAGGGAAAGCTCTTTAACCCTGGTGCTGATGTGTAGCTCCAAAAACTAATTCTCATCCAGCCCTATTAGCTACCTACTATTCTAGGTATCTTGTTTGAAACAACTTGCTGACTATAGTTTGAGTCCCAGATGATCGTTGGAGAGCCTTGGGACAATGCCAGACCAGCCTGAGCACCGCTGGGTGTGCCCTCCCATGCCACACCCCAAGAACTCCATGGCTGTACATCTTCCCTCCCTTCTAATTTGTTTTTCCAGAAAAACGCACTTCGCTGGTTTCAGAATTCTTTCGTATTTTTTTTTTCAGAATTTAGCATTGCAATCAGAAGCCAATCCACTTTGCCTTTTATGGTATGCACTGTATTCCTTTATTCCCATGGATGTTCTTACAAAGTTTTCTCTTTGAAAAGAAAAAACTCAAGATGTATCTAAATCAGGTTTTCTGCTAATTTCAAGGACAGAAGTAACATCCATGAGTGCCCCGAACACAGGAAAAACAGGTCTTGGAAAGGGCAGGGCTGAGGGAACACCAGAACTGGGGGCCCTGGCCTCCACCTTGCTCTGTAGGAGGCTGCATCCCTGTCTCACCCTTTGCTCTCCTGGTTTTGAGTTTTAGCTTCATGCCAGACATGGCTGCTGGGATCTTTCCTGCACTCACAAATCTGAGATTTCCCTGTGGCTCTCATCTGACAAGGAGCAGCAGAATCTATCTCCCTCTCCCCCGCCCCCAGCAGGCAACAGCGTCTCCAGTCACTGGCCAGCAGGGAATGAAGACTCACCAAGGGCGTCATCCAGTCCACGTAGAAACAGCCACAGGTGGGGCGAGATTGGGTAACCTGGTGCAGTGCTAGGAATGAGGGGAGATGCCTTGGATTCCAAAAACATGGTGCCAGTGGGGCAGGAATGTTTGACATCGTTCTCAATAGTTATTTTTCTTTGATGAACTTTATATTCATTGGTCACCTTCACTAGTATACATTGTGTTGAGTATTTTTAATTTGAAAGAAGTGATAATCACAAAACTTAAAGAGTCACAAATGTTAATAAAGAATTATCCTGAATATAAAGGAAAGAAAGTGTATTAGCACCAAGAGCAATAGTAAACACACAGAACATACAGATTGAAAGAAGCATCAGTGACCTAACAAAAACCAAGGTATAGTTTTACAGACCATAGAACATAGTAGAATACAGGAAAGGAACTGCTGTTTAGTCTGTAGGTTTCAACATTATAAAATAGTATTTTTAAGTTAGCATGAGAAAGCAGGTTTCTTACAAAAGAAGTTTATATATGCTATTTCAGCTTTCACAACATTTGCCATATTATTTGGTAAATTACCTGATGATTCAATTATTTAGTTCTTGGCAATTAACTTTACGCATTTTTTTTTGGCACTCTTTTTTTTGCTACCCTAGGAATCTGTGATGACAGATAATCAATCAGTCACAGAGCGACTGGCTTCCATCCTTGGCAAGACTCATTTCTTTACTTACCCTGTGGTAACACCATCATGTTATACAGTCAAGACCTTGCTGGCCTTACAGTGCTGTCTGATCTTTACTGGCCATCTTTTATTGTTTCCCTCTTCAACTCTCCTTTGTAGCTTGTAGTCAACCCTCCAAGACCGATCTGTAGCTGGTTATTAAGTCACACACACTGTTATTAACAGACAGGGCACTTCCCCCTTATCTAAAACAATTACTTCCTCATTAGAATTTCCGTTTCTTTTTCCTTTTTAATCTTGTCTGAATATTGCAAACCCAGAACTGTTATATGAAATGCATGACATTAACTGTTTTAGTCAGTACCTTCAGAATTACTTCCTCCTTAATTCTTGCCAAGCTACTACTGGGAATTAAGACAGGGTGTGCCAAATATTTCCTATGGAATGGAGGAGAAAATGTTAGTTTTAAGGTCCAGCTGTCGAATGGACAGAGAAACAGCCAGAACTGAAAGTATCATTCAAGGGGCTGAGTCAGGGGAACACTTCCCTTTTTCTGGAGTTTGGGCCACACCCAGAGGTGCTCTATGCTCAGGAATCAATCCTGGTGGTACCAGGGATGCAAAGCAAATGGGTGGCCTAAATCTCTGTATTACTTTCTGGCCCAGTAATTCTCAAAGTGTTACCCCCAGAACAGCAGTAACACATTCCCTGCAAGTCTGTTAAAATAGCATATTCTTCAACTCCATGGAAAGGCCAGAATCTAGGGTAATTTCCACCTGTCTTTTCTGTGTCTAAGGATTCCTCGAGACTCAAATGAACCAGTGATCCATTAGTGATTTGAAAACCATTTCATTTTTTTTTGCTGCAACTGATAAAATAGAAACCTCCCTATTCCTCTTAGGCATTACAGCCCTTAATGAACAGGAGCTCAATATGCATTTGTAACAAGTCCAAAGGAAGTACTCAGTCTGGTATTACTGCAGCACCCTGTGAAGGCAGAACTGAGATTTGCGCCTTGACTTAACTCAGAGCTAAGACCTCTGTCCAGAGATGGCCAAAAGGAGGCAGCGGCAGGCTCTCTCCCAGCGGCTGCCATCAGGGGTTCCTGAGTTTCTGCATGTGGAAGGCACCTTCCCCTTGTATCCACACTGATGTGTCTCTTGCCTTGTAAAGGCAACTGTATTCCGATTGAGTTACACCTCTTTCCATGAATGTATCTGAAGTGATTTATAAAAACTGACATGCAGTTACTTTATAAAAATAGAAAATCAGGACTAGAAGAGAAGGAAAGAAATATTACCTACATGCATGTATTATACCAACATCCATTACATCTGTTGGATAAGGCAATCCTTTAGAATATAAATAGAATAAATTATTCGTATTATTCACAAACTATTTCATTCTAATAAAATTTGACAAAAATTTAAATCTAAATCTATTCCAAAGTAAACCAAGGAGTCTGAAAAACAGTACAGTGGAAAGAGTGTGGGTACTGGGCTTGAATATCTCATTTCTTAAAGCACTTTACTATATTTTAGCTTAAAAAACCAGCTTCAAACTTGTGATTAAGCGCAGGTAAGGGGTATAGAATATACTCCACGATGTGACCTCAAGGTCCCAGGTAGACTTTCTTAGGTTCCCTTCCCAGTGACCCCTGACCAGATAATGTTCATTTCCCCAAAGACAGATTGCATGAATTTAATCATTAAAAACAAATTTTCATTCATTAACTAACACCTTTCTTACCTTCTGATCTTCTAGAAGAATTTCTGGGAAAATCTATTATCTTTGTTAATAAGTTTATCAGTCTGTGTTCCTTCACAAGGTGGATTCTCCCTGCTGTGTGAGGAAGATACACATGCCCACAATGCTACTCACTAAACACAAAGTCTTCAGCAGGGTTTTCCAAAAACAGTCTTCTGAATAGCTTAAGGATTTTTTAACATTTAACTTTTAGCATTTCATGTGACTTGCATTTCTGGGCATGGTACAGTGCTGATTATATCTGGCAGCTGGAATTTTGCCATAACATACAGGTTGATAAAAATGTCCACACATAGCAGTACCAGGGAGAAGATGAAGCTATACTCCAAGACAGGCTTGGAAGAGACTACAGACCTAAACGTAATAGATGTTTTGAGTATAAAATTCTATTTGGGAAAACAAAGTCTACATAAGCCCTAGTCCTGTCCTAGGGAGCTCCATAAATCTGTTTTGTATCAATTCCAGTGGAACAAGGAAAAAAAAATCTAAGGGAAAAATATTTAACATAAAGAAGTGCTAATCACATATAAGAAAAACAAATTTCAGAAATGATTAAGTGCCAATGCATGGGGTTGTTAAATGCCAACAATCTCTCTCTCCCCCCCTTTTTTTATTGTAAGAGTAATTTTACTTTTTTTTTTCTTCTTGGGTCACACCCAGTGATGGTCAGGGGTTACTCCTGGCTTTGCACTCAGGAATTACTCCTGGCAGTGCTTGGGGGACCATGTGGGATGTTGGGGATTGAACCCAGGTCAGCTGCAAGACAAATGCTCTACCCGCTGTACTATCACTCTAGCCCCGAGGACTTGTACTTTTAATGCATAGAATTTGGAAAAAATTATATAAGGTTTTAAAAGAGATCTTTTGGACAATTATTAATACAAGTGTAAAATAAGAACCTTCAAACAAATACCATTTCAGTATCAATTTACATACAGCAATAATTTATTCTGAAATGTTCATTTAGTCTCTGCTGAGACAAAACTTCTGTCTCATTAATAAGAGCAGCCTTTTCACCTCAAATTCTAGAATATACAACAAGTTACGGCATAGCAAAAAAGTCTACCTACTTTCAGATAAAATCTAGTCCAGGTAAAATAGTTTCCATTCAATGTTTTACAGTTACACAGCATTTTTTGAGCACAAAATAGTATGATTTGTTACACTGTACCTATCTAAATGCACATCATATAACCACAGAACTGTTAATCATTACTTCTGAAATTGAACCACCAGTTTCATTCATGCACTAAAGCAAATCAGGCTGAGTAAACTTGTTCATCGGGAACCATATTACTGTGAATTTCACAGCCACATGATTAATTATGATGTTAGATGGAATCATGAGGACTAAAACAATTTTTTTTGCATAAATACCAATTTCTCCCTGATGTTAAGTTTAGTGAGTTTAAATCTAGAAATGACTGATAACAGCAATATATCATATCTTCTATGTGTAGTGTTATTTTAAGACAAGCAATAATTAAAGAATTATGGGACGGGATGCTATTTAAATACATGTAAAACATACTGTACAGATATACTTGGCTTTACCATTTGCTTCCTACCAAGACTGCCTTCCAAAATATGACCAGTGAATACAATTATACTATCAAATATGGCTTCCAGAACAGAACCTTCTAACAAGAATCAAACCTATTTACAAACATCTTTTACAGTTTCATTTGAAACAAATTCTACATAGCAGTTGAAGTGGACATAATGGTCATCTTCTTAGTGCCCTCCTCCAGCTCCTTCACACGGACGTAACAAGGTAAGACCCAGAATGGCGCTTGGGGCTCTGAGTACCACTGGATTCTGTACTGTCAGTTTTTGAATCTCGTTTCTTCGTGCTGTTGTTCACGGGGGTTGGGATCTGAGATGGCCGGGCTGAAGTGCTGTCTGCACTGCTTTTCCTTGGGCTGGGGTTATAATTAAAAGGAGTTACTCTGGCAGCCACAGTCCCACTAGGTGAACTGTGTTTGCTCGAGCTGCTCGAACTAAAAGGGGTCCGCTCAGCTATAGCGCTTTCACTGGTCTCAGATGCAAGGACAGAGCTACTTTGTCCTGGTTTCGTCTCAGTTCCTTTCTGGTCTGCAGCGTCCACTTGCAGAAAGGAGTTCAGGCGGTTCTCTAGACCCACCGTGCGTACAGAGACACTGCCATTGCCTATGCTTTGTTTTCCCTGATTCTCTTTTGAGTCTTTAGTATTTGGGTTTCCCTTTTCTGAAAAACTGTCAATCACTGGGGGAGTATTTCCTGTTGGAGACCTTCCAGATCTAGGGTTGTTGATGGGACAGTCCTCGATTCTCACCCAAACGTCCTCTGTTTTAGAAACGGCAGGTGCCATCTGATAAATTAGAGTCTTTGATTCAGCACCATTTGCAGCACCTGAGGAAGTGGTCTGAGAAGTACTATTTGTGGGAGAAATTTCACTCTCTTTGATTTTTCTCCATGTTCCTTTAGTGGATACTTGGTTTTCTTTAGCCGGTTTGGTGCCTGAAGAAAAGTTCACTTGTTTCTCATCCTCACTCTTTGCTTTCTCGCTGGATTCTGATGAAGCAGAAAGAATTGAGGATGAGCTTCCAGTTCTTCTCCAAGTGCTTACTCGTGGAAGGGAGGACGAATGTTTGCTGTGCTCGCGTTTCCAGGTTCCAGACCGATTGATGGGAAGCCTGGAAGGGCTCTCAGAGTGCGAGCGTGCTATGTCGTGGCGCTTGGCTGGCCTTCCGTCACTATACTCGACAGTGGGGCTGAGATTTGGGGGAAGTTTTCGCCACCCACCAGCCTGAACAGATGAATGTGCAGAGAGGGGCATGTCAGGAAGGGATGGGCTTAAAACTGGCGTCTGTGCCTGGGACCGAGTTGGGGAACCTGGTCTGGATGATGGCGAAAGGGATTCAAATGAAGCAGATTCCTCCAATTTTCTCCTTAGGGTTGGGCTCGGGGCTTCTTTGATGAAAGTTGACTGGCGGACTAAGACGGGCCTCTCTGACCTGTCAGATTCACTTCCACTTGACTTAGCTGAAGACATTCTAGAAAGCTCTACCTTTTTGTTGGATCCATTACTAGTACTCATCTGATTTAGTCCTTTGGAGGCTGATTCACTCCTTGGGATACTACTGCCATTCTTGGATATGCCTGCTTGCTTAGTAAGGGTCTGCTGGCTCATCTGTCTCCCTGGGGGCGTATACAGCATCTTCCCGGAACCTGAGGACTTCGTTGAAGCAGTACTCGGGGATGATGTCCTTGGAAGTTGAGAGAGTTTGTTAGGACTTATTCCATTTCTGCCTGGAGAAATCGAGTTTCGCCCCGGAGACTGCACAGGCCTGGACAGTGGTGGCTGGGCAGGTCCCGCAGGAGCAGGCTCTCTGGAGCCTGACCGTGATGGTCTGCTTAGCGGCGTCTGGGCAGGTCCTGAAGGAGCGGGCTCTCTGGAGCCTGACCGTGATGGTCTGCTTAGTGGCGGCTGGGCAGGTCTCGTAGAAGCGGGCTCTCTGGAGCCTGACCTTGATGGTGCTGTATTTGGCCCACCTGCCTGTGAGGTCAGCTTAGGAACTGGGCTTGAGTCTGACTTCCCTGGTGGCTTGGCTCCTCTTGGAGAAGTGGCAACTGTCTGACCTTCACTAGGACTCTTGGAGGACGCAGTCTTAACAGGAGGGCCTTTTTTAGAAACAGGACTAGTACTTGAAGAGCTATTTCGAACTCCAGGAATGTGAATCATTGTCCTACCTCGAGAGATTGAAGGCATATTTGTTTGCAGGGGTGGTTTAATTTGGCTGGAAACTTCTGAATGAGATCGAACTTTTCCAGTAATTAAACTTTTGTAAACTTTTTTCCCTCCTTTAATTCCTTTATTTTCTGATTCTAGTTTTTTAGTTTCCAGTGTACTTTTCTCCCCAGGTTTTAGAATCCGTGGGCCTTTATTGCTTGTAAAGGGTTTCTCCTCCTGGTCAGGTGTAAGATGAAATGGTGAGCCCAGAGAGATTCCTGATTTCAGTGACAGGATGGAGTCCGAGTCTGATGAAGCTTGTCTTGATAAGCAGGCAGCTGCAGCAGCCTGATGTAAACTACTCACTATAGAATTGGCACCCTCCTGAATGGCTTTCCAATCAAAAGTTTCAGAATCAGGTGATAAGCCATGTTCTGAATCTGGTCTCTCTATATCTTTCAAATCAAGTGTCAAATCTTCTGCCAAAATGCCACTCATATTCCTGGGACTGTGCTTCTCATTATCACCCTTGGGTCGTGAAGGCTTTTTCTTCTTTGGCATTGCAGAACTTATACATTCCTGCAATAAGTCATCCTCAGAATCGATGCTAAGGGAGCTGAGAGAACTGTTTCTTGAGAAACAAACCGGGGTATCTTCGACATGAAATGACTTAGGGGCATACCCTGATGTCTGAGGTTTACTTGGTTCTCCCTGTGAATCAGGGGGCTCTCTCTCTTTGATAGGCTCATTTTCTTTACTGTTATTGTTTTCTTGATCAATATCACTAAGAGAACTTAGAGAGGAATTTCGAGAAAAGCAAACTGGAGTATTTTCAATAGCAAAATTTTGTAATTTTTCATCAGTTGCTGCCCCTCTATCTTTGGACGACTGGGGAAAAGTAGATTGTTTTTGCAGTATGGGTTTAGACTGAACTCGATTTACTGGATGTTTTGTAACAGCTTGTGCCTTAGTACTTGACTGCTGGTTTGAAGTTAGATCTGTGTGGACAGTAACTTTAGCTTCTGATTCTTTATTTTCCTTCCCCTTTCTTAATTCAGCTCTTTCCCTGGAAAGGTCAACATCATCATCATCATCAAAATCTAGAGAACTCAAAGAATCATTTCGTGAGAAACAATATGGAGTTCCCTCAATAGGTGTGTAATGATGAGGTGAATCAAAAGTAAAACTTCCTCTGATTCGATCTTCATTGTTTGGTTGCTTATCATTGTAATCTTTGGAATTATTTTTCAAGTTCTGTTTCTTTGGATCTTTGTTGTCAAGGAAAGTTCTTTCTGAGCTTAAATTACTTTTTGAGTCAGCATTTTTTCTGACACGAGTCCTATATTCACTGTTTTGTGGCATAGGTTTAACTGGTGAAGTTGGTTTCTTTTTCTTACTATCTACTTGATTTTTGTTAGTTCCAGATGAAGATATAGAGGCCTGTTGGACCTGGTCCATTATCTTTTTGACCCGGAAAGGCTTGTGGCTTTTTCCTTTGGGCATAGCAGAGTTAATGCATTCTGCAAGAATATCGCCTTCTTCTGTTTTACTGTCTTCTGATTCGGGTGTAGTGAGAGACGAGGCTTTTCCTCTGCGGGCTTCATCTGTACTCCTGCCTTCGGTGGGAATGGTGTCTCGCTTCTCAGTCTCGCCTACCTGTGGCCCTGCCCTAACTCCTTCTCCTGCAGTTAACTCATTTGGAGGGGATTCTATTGTTAAATCACTCAGAGATGTTGCTGTAGAAAAGTTGATAGGTGTCCCTTCGACACAATAGACTCGTGGCACATCATCTCCTGGTGTAAAGCTAACATGCTTTTGTGCTTGTAGCCGGTTTTGTGATGGTAAAAGTTTGTACACAGGCAACTGACTTGGTTTCCGTGGCACAGGTGGAGGTAATTTTGAAGCAGTCTGGGATGGCTTTTTGACTTTGTGTGACGATTTTGTTGGCATGGCAGAAATGATACATTCTTCTAGTATTTCAATATCATCATCATCAGAATCATCTAGAAGGTCTTTTTCAGAATCAGTAGGCTTCTCTATCTTTTTTTCCTGATTTTCATTTGATTCTTCAGGCTGCTCAGATTCTGTTTCATTCCCATTGTCATTTTCCTGAACTGGAGGCATGATTCTTAATTCCACGTCTTTCTGGATAAATGGTTCATCAAGGCTCAGAGCACTCAGGCTGGATGAACACGAAAACCCATCTGGAGTACTTTCTGTAGCGAAATGCATCAAAGTATCAGCGTCTGGCAGGACCTGTACCCTCTGCACAGCAGCATGCACAGCAGCTTGTTTTGGCCCAGGCTTTTCAGCCGCAGGTATTTTGTTTTGAGGTACCTCTTGCTTATTTGTAATTATTTGAGGAGGAGGCGGAGTCTTACTTCTGCTTGGTGGCATGGTTTGTCCAGGGCTATCTGGAAGGTCACTGGGGCTTATAATGCCACTGACCATCCCACTGCAGGGCTCACTCTGAACAGAACTGGCAATAGAGCGACTCTCAAAACTGTCTAGTGAGCTGACAGACGTACATCTACTAAACATGAGTGGGGTCTCCTGCACATAGTGCTCTGGGGGACTTTTAGGTGTCTGGGCCCCACTCTTTGATGGAGATTTGGCTCCTGAAGAAAACTCTACAGCTTTGTGCCTGGTCGATTCAGCTGATAAACCAGAAGTCTGGAGTCTGCTTGACTTGGCTCTAATGTGCTGGGACGCTGTGGGAACTTCAGTCACTGAATCTTCGGTTGACCTAGTGCCACTGTTTTCTTTAATTTCTGCTATCTGTAGAGTATTAGCAGAATCTGTTGGCTGTGTTGTCTGATCACATCCAATTTCATCTTCGGCTGATGACAAAGATGATAATGAACTACATCTTGAAAAACATATTGGCGTATCTTCTACACAGTAAGTCTGTATTGTTTCTTGGTTGATAGAGGGAACTTTGCATGAGGCCGCTTTCTGAGTGTGGCCACTTCTGCTCTGTGCTGAACCTGGATGGAGTGAGTTCTGCCTCTGTGTACGAGATGAAGGTGTGGCAGTGCTCTCACTACTTGAAGAGACATGTTCAGGGTTAGGGTTTGGGGCAGATGGACTCTTTGAGAAGGAAAAGGATGGTTTCTGTGAGGAAGGAATGTCTGTGGTATATTTTAGACTATAATCGATAGGCTGATCCACATGATGTTTTTCTTCATTATATTTGATACTGTAGTTTGTTGTTCTCTCTTCATCCTCACGCTGCTCTTCCTCAGAGTAGCGTTCACTATAATTAGTTGGCTTATCATCTTCATAGTCGTCTTCTTGGCACAATGACTGGTTTACGTTCTGGTTGATAGCATGATTAGAACCTACTCGGTTTGCTTCTGAACCATTGGCTCCCCTTGATCTATATGGGGAAACACATTCCTGCTGTCCAAAATGTGGTTGGAACTTGAGATGTTTATCGTCAGTGGTCTCAGTATATAGAGGGTAAGTTGTGCTTTGACTCCTGGACTGTCTTTGCTCATTTTGTTTTATTTCATCTTCTAGAATATGTTTGGATCTTGACCATCTCTCATTCTGAGAAGGACTCTGCCTTCCAGAATTCAACTGCTCATCTGAGTATTTGAGGCTGTAATTTATCGGTGTGTCTAGTTCTCCATCATTATCATCCATGTGATTTGCACTATGTATTTTATGAGCCAGGTCAGCTGGATATTGACCATAGCTGCAGAATTTACTTTCATCATCCTCTGAGTAGGACTCAATGGAAGGTTTCATTTGCCCTCTTTTACCGTAACCATCACTACTACTGACACTATTTAAGCTATCGTTTGAAGATCTCTTATATTCCAACTTGCTATAAGGCATTGGACACGTCCTATTTGAATTGTCTGACTTAGTGAAGTTGTAAGTGTTTGAGTGTGTGTGGGCAGTTGAGCTTCGTCTTAATGCATTTCTCTCATCTGTTCCACAATGTATTTCAGGGGCAGATCCAGAACTTCTGTCTTCTTGGGAGCTATGAATGGCTGATACTTCTTCCATGACTTTGGCAATCTGCGCTGCAGTGGTAGAAATCTGCAAACCTCGCTTGGAAGAGGTTCCTGGGTTTTCTGTTGCTGGGTGATAGTTGCCTAAACTAATTCCTCGTTCTCTCTCCAAGCTCCTATCTTTTTCAGAACGGGAACTATCTAAACTTCCCCTTGATGAAGAGTTAGGCAACACTGTAGTGTTTAAATATGGTGAAAGAACAGTCATGTTTCCAGTATTAAAACCATCTGATCTGTTATCGTCATGTCGGTTGGTGTCAAACACATAGTCCCCATAGACACCCTGCTTGTGTCTTTGCTTACTACGATGAGATGCCTTGGGACTTAAATTGTCAATATTGTCAAATGTTTCTGATAAATGCTGAGCATCTAATTCTGCTTCCAGGGCCTTTTGTTTCCTAACATGAAGAGATGGCAAACTCGAACCAGGAGACATGATATTGGCATCCTTGTATTTTGCAGGTCTATTTGCCATGAGATTCCGTAATGCTGCAGCACTCCCCATCGCGATCATTTTGTGCTTTGAATGAATGAGGTTCTTCAGCATGCTTACTGCCCCCATATCCCACAATGCCTCCTGGTCTTTGGGATTTCTTGCTGAGAGATTCCACAGGGTCCCACAGGCATTACTGACTATTGTCAAACTGTGAGATTTTAAATGCTGTAATAATGTTTGCAGGCAGTTATTCTCTCTTAGGATTTGTCTGAAGTAAAAAACGAGAGATTGCAAAATTAAGATCAAAATCTGTAGTCAAAACAGGAAATAAATTTAATCTAAAGATAATTTCTAAAACTTATTAACAAAGGACATGATATAATCACATAATATTAGACTGTGAGTCCAAGATTTCCTCATCTCCTGTTAGTTCAGTTAATGTTGTTTAAACTGTTCAACTATCACAACAAATGTCATAAATGTGTAATTTAGAATTCTGAAATAACAGGTTTCAAACAAAATTTTTTTTAAACAATCTCTTTTTTTTCCCTTGGCTTTTTTTGGGTCATACCCAGCAATGCTCAGGGGTTACTACTGATGCTCAGGGGTTACTACTGGCTCTGTACACTGCTAGGAATCACTCCTAGGAGTGCTGGGGGACCATATCGAACCATATTGAATCTAGGTTGGTTGTGTGCAAGGCCCTACCCACTGTATGATTGCTCTGGCCCCAGTTCCAAAAATTTTTTACTGAGAAAATACGTTTATTTTATTTACATAGTGACAGAGATTCCCAACTTAATGTCTATAAATATATCACTAAATCTTAAGCTAGAAAGAGACTTTATGATGATTTATAGATGGTGCCAAATGCTGACCAAGATATTTTGGAAGAGATAAAATTGATCAAAAAGGGCTGAACTGGTAGCACAGTCAGGCGCTTGCTCTGCACATGGTTGATCTGGGTTTGATCCCTGGCATCATGTATGCCAGAGCACAACCAGGAGTAATTTCTGAGTGCAGAGCCAGAAGTAATCCCCGAAAATCACAGGGTGACGCCCTAAAATAAGACAAACAAAACCAAACAGACACAAGAACTGATCAAAATTGATGAACAGAGCCCTAAGTTGTCAGGGAGTAGAATGTAAACCCCTGAAAGCAGCAAACTGACTTTTCAGAGACATCTTTTGGCTTGCCCTGGTGGCACTTCCATTCCCCTTGACAAATGTTTTCCTGCAAGTGGTATGTGTAGATTTTTTTCCCCTAAAATGAAAGTAAATGAGAAGTTTTCAAAACACTTCATGGCAACTATAATGACTGGGAATCAGCATCATAAATTTGGGCCTTAAAAAAGGTCTAATCTGGGACTGGAGCAATAGTACAGCAGGTAGGGCGTGCATGCGGCCAACCCGGGTTCAATTTCCAGCATCCCATATGGTCCCCTGAGTACTACCAGGAGTAATTCCTGAGTGCACAAGTCAGGAGTAACCCCTGAACATCGCCTGGTGTGAACCACCCCCCCAAAAAAAGGTCTAGTCTAATGTATATTAACTGAGATTAACGTTGGCATATTCAGCATTGGTGCTTGCGTTTCACTGACACAGTGCCTGTCCAGCAGGTCAGGAGCCCCTAGGGCTTGGTTCCAGCACCACAAATGAACGAAAACAAAACAAGCATTGAAATGATGACTGACTGTGAGATTGCAGAGAGTGCAACAGGCCGTAACATGGCCTTCCTCCAGTGATACCAGCACATTCTCCCGAGTTTTGGGATAGCTCCAAAGGCTCTGCGTACCAGAGACCCAGGCTTACGGATCCCGAGAAGCACTGGAGACACCCATAGCAATAAGTAGGGCCAGTGAGGTCCAGAAAACAGACCACAAAAGGAGTCTCTCTGCACAGCAGAAAGGGCTACAAAGCTTAGGGTTAACCAACAAAGAGAAGTTTGTACATTCCTCACAAAATCTTTACCAAAATCATTTTATTAAATATAATGGTGATGAGAGAGAAAGTACAGGGGTTAAGGTGCTTGTCCTGGCAAACCTTGGCTTGATTTCTGGTGTCCAGATGGTCTCCCAAACACTACCCGGAGTGATCCCTTAGCGCAGAGCTGGGAATGGCCCCTGGGATCACTGGATGTGCTCTCCCCAAAAGAAGTTCACATTATCGAATTTCAGAAGTATAGGTTTACTCACTATCCTCTCACCAAGATTCTGGTGTTAAAGTCATTTCAAAGTGAATGAGGACAATAATGGATAATTAAAAAAGAAGACAATCTGTGAAAAAAAAATTGTTCACATAATAGAGTCCATATTATGAAAATAAGTGGTCTTTAACTGAGGTGTTTTCTTAAGACTGGATGAGTGGCTGTTGGCTAATACTGCTATGGTTACTGATTCAGATGCCTTTAGAAAAAGATTAAACTTTCTGCACCATACCCACAGGTTTTTATTTCTACAGATCTCACATTCCTTTAATCTTGACTCTTCTTTTTTGTTAACATATTTGGTCCATTTCAGCTATTATTTCTAGACATCTTTTACTAAATGCGACTTTTATTAGGAAAAATACACTGAGGGGCTGGAGTGATAGTACAGCAGGTAGGGTGCTTGCTTTGCATGTGGCAGACTGGGGATAGATCCCAGCATCTTATACGGTCCCCCGAACTCCATCAGGAGTGATCCCTGAGCATAGAGCCACAGTAAGTCCTGAGCACTGTCATGTGTTACTCATAAACAAACAAACAAAAAAAATAAACAAAATAAATACACTGAGTAAACTGAAGATTATTACTGAAATGTATTTTCACTAAAATGAGAAATGTTGGGGCTGGAGTGATAGCATAGCGGTAGGGCATTTGCCTTGCACGCAGCTGACCCTGTCGACTTGGTTTCGATTCCTCTGTCCCTCTCAGAGAGCCCAGCAAGCTACCTAGAGTATCTCGCTTGCATGGCAAAGCCTAGCAAGCTACCTGTGATATATTTGATATGCCAAACACAGTAACAACAAGTCTCATAATGGTGACATTACTGGGCCCGCTCGAGCAAATCACTGAACAATGGAAGGACAGTGACAGTGAGAAATGTTGGTTCAAAAACTTAGATTACTGGGCCAGAGAGGCAGTACAGAGGTAAGTCATTTGCCCTGCGTGCAGTTGACCAGGCTTTGGTCCATGCACTGCATATACTCCATAGCCACCACTAGGAGAAGTGCTTTAGCACAGAGCCAGGAGTTAGCTTGAGCACAGGTAGGTATGGCCCCCAAATCAAAAACAAACAAAACCCCCAAAATCTTGTACTATTCCAGAAAAAACTTAAAACTTAGTCTTTATGGGGATACGAATACTCCACTAATTCATTTGAAACTATTATAGACACCTGTGTTTACCTGTGGTCCTCATTTGTCGCTATCAAGCTTGAAACGTTTCGTAATATTCCACCTCCACTTTCAATAATGGCTAACGTATTCGTCTGGCTCCTGTAAGTGAGAGTGCCGACCAAGAACGCCAGAGCTCCATCCACAGCACAGATGTCAGCTTTGTTCTCCGTGCAGTGTGCGGACAGGTTCCATAAGGCACTCAGCACACTTTTGAGGGTTGATTCCTATTGAAGGATCAGCACATATGTCACCTAATTAGAGCTGGAATTGTCTCATACTGTCTAAGTTTAGTTCAATTACGTATATCATTCTTGTTAATCTGCCCAGCTGCCCACAACTCATTTGTAATGTATCTGGAACTACCCAATTAGAAAAACGTTCATATCCCTGAGCCTCTTCCTGCTTGTCCCCCAACATGGAGAACCAAATGAAATACCTGGAAATTAAACAACTCAATGTTGAACAACGAGTGGGTCAAGAAGGAAGTCAAGGACGAAATCAAAAGATACCTGGAAACAAATGAGAATGAAGACACGAGCTACCAGAACCTGAGATGCAGCTAAAGCTGTGTTAAGGGGAAAATTTATAGCTCTGCAAGCATTTCTCAGAAAGGAAAAAAGGGCCCACATAAACAACTTGACTTCACAGCTCAAGATTTTAGAAATGAATCAACAAAAGGAGCCCAAATAAGGCAGAAGAAAAGAGATCATAAAATTCAGAGCAGAAATCAACGACACGAAAACCAAAAAATCTGAAAGATCAATGAAACCAAGAGCTGGTTCTTCGGGAAAATAAACATGATAAACAACTAGCAAGACTCACAAAGGAAGAGAGAGAACCCTAATAAACCAAATCAGAAATGAGAAGGGGGATATCACAACAGAAACCAAAGAAATTCAAAAGATCATCAGAGACTACTCTGAAAGCCTGGAAACAAGGGAACCTAGAAGAAATGGATAAATTCCTGGATTCCTATAATCTCCCAAGGATGAATCAAGATCTAGAGTACCTGAATAGACCTATTAACATCAAGGAAATTGAAACTGTAATCAAAAGTTTCCCCCAAAACAAAAGCCCAGGTCCAGATGGATTTACTAGCAAATTTTTCCAAACATTTAAAGAGGACCTATTGCCAGTTCTTCTCAAGCTTTTCCAGGAAATTGAAGAAACAAAAACTCCCCCAAACAGTTTCTATGAAGCCCATATCTCTCTAATACCAAAAGAAAACATAGACACCACAAGAAAAGAAAACTACAGGCGATATCCCTGATGAACACACATGTGAAGATTCTCAACAAAATACTAGCAAATAGAATTCAAAAACTCATCAAAAAGATCATACACCATGACCAAGTGGGATTCATTCCGGGGATGCAAGGATGGTTTAACATCTGGAAATCAATCAACATCACTGTCACTGTCCTCCCACTGTTCATCGATTTGCTCGAGTGGGCCCAGTAACGTCTCCATCGTGAGACTTGTTGTTACTGTGTTTGGCATATCGAATATGCCATGGGTAGCTTTCCAGGCTTTGCTGTGTAGGCGAGATACTCTTAGTATCTTGCCGGGGTCTCCGAGAGGGGTGGAGGAATCAAACCCGGCTCAGCCAGGCCGGCTGCGCACAAGGCAAATGCCCTACCACTATGCTATCACTCGAGCCCAACAATCAACATAATCCATCGTATCAACGAAAGATACAAAACCATAAGATCATATCAACAGATGCAGAGAAAGCATTTCACAAGACCTGGTACCCGTTTGTGATGAAAACCCTCACCTAAATGGGAACAGAGGGGACTTTCCTCAATATAGTTAAAACCATCTACCACAAGCCTACAGCAAGCAACATCCGTAATGGGGAAATCTGAGAGCCTTCCCTCTAAGATCAGGGATGAGACAAGGATCCTCACTCTCTCCACTGCTGTTCAATATAGTACTGAAAGTACTTACAATCACGGTTAGGGAAGAGAATGATATTAAGGGCATTCAGGAAGGAAAGGAAGAAATCAAGCTCTCACTATTCACAGATGATATAATACTATATTTAGAGAATTGTAAAACCTCTACCAAGAAACTCCTAGAAACAATAGACTTGTATATTGAAGTTGCAGGCTATAAAAATCAATACCCAAAAGTCCATGGCTTTCCTATATGCAAATAGAGAGAGAAACGAAAATGATATGAAAAAAAAAAAAAACCCGTTCACTTTTGTGCCCCAGAAAATCAAGTACCTAGGAATCAGATTAACTAAGGAAGTAAAAGACCTGTACAAAGAAAACTACAAAACGCTACTTCAGGAAATAAAGGAGGACACGAGAAAATGGAAAAATATCCCCTGCTCATGGATTGGGAGAAATAACACTGTCAAAATGGCAATACTTCCCAAAGTATTGTACAAATTCAATGTGATCCCGATAACGATACCCATGACATTCTTCAAAGAAATGGAGCAAACACTCCTGAAATTCATATGGAACAATAAGCTCCCACGAATAGCTAAAGCAATTCTCAGGAAAAAGAAAATGGGAGGAATCAACCTCCCTAACTTCAAACTCTATTACAAAGCAGTAATAATTAAAACAGCATGGTACTGGAACAAAGGCAGAGCTGTAGACCAATGGAACAGGGTTGAATATACTGACATCTCCCACCAACCATATGATCATCTAATCTTCAATAAGGGGGCAAGGAAAGTGAAGAGGAGCAGGGAAAGCCTCTTTAACAAATTGTGCTGGCAAAACTGGACGGCTACATGCAAAAAAGTGGGCTCAGCTCTCTGCCTAACGCCATGTACAAAAGTAATATCAAAATGGATTAAAGACCTCAACATCAGACCAGAATCCATAAAGTTCATCAAAGACAAAGTTGGCAAAACCCTCCATGATATTGAAGCTAATGGTATCTTCAAAGATGTCACGCCACTGGCCAAGCAACTGAAAACAGAGATGGACAACTGGGACTATCTTAAACTAAGAAGCTTCTGCACCTCAAAAGAAACAGTGACCAAAATACAAAGACAGTCTACAGAATGGGAAAGGATATTGGCTGAATACACATCTGACAAGGGGTTGATATCAAGGATATACAAGGTACTGGATGAACTCCACAAAAAGAAAACACCCAACCCCATAAAAAAATGGGGTGATGAAATGAACAGAAACTTTCCCAAAGAAGAAATCCGAATGGCTAAAAGGCACATGAGAAAATTCTCCACATCATTAATCATCAGGGAGATGCAGATCAAAACAACAATAAGATATCATTTCACACCACAGAGACTGGCCCACATCCAAAAGAACAAAAGCAACCAGTATTTGCGCAGATGTGGCGAGAACCTCCTTTCACTGCTGGTGGGAATGCCGGCTGGTTCAGCCCTTTTGGAAAACAGTATGGACGAATCTCAAAAAATTAGAAATTGAGCTCCCATTTGACCTAGCAATACCGCTCCTGGGAATATATCCCAGAGAGGCAAAAAAGTATAGTCGAAGTGACATCTGCCTTTGTTTGTTCATTGCAGCACTGTTTACAATAGCCAGAATCTGGAAAACACCTGAGTGCCTGAGAACAGATGACTGGTTAAAGAAACTTTGGTACATTTACACAATGGAGTACTATGTAGCTGTTAGAAAAGATGAAGTCATGAAATTTACATACAAGTGGTACTACATGGAAAGTATCAAGCTAAGTGAAATGAGTCAGAAAGAGAGGAACAGACATAGAAAGACTGCATTCATAGGGGATCATAAAGAAAAAAAACAGGGGACTAACACCCAAGAATAGCCGAGATAAATACAAGGAGGTTTACTCCATGGCTTGGAGGCCAGCTGCACATCCTAGGGAAAAAAAGCATCTCAGAGAAGGGAGCACCAAATAAAGAGTATTGGGAGAATCCTCCCAGGATGGGAGATGCATGTTGAAAGTAGACTATAGACCGAACATGACTGCCACTCAATGCCTCTTTTGCAAACCACACCACCCAAAAGGAGAGAGAAAACAAAAGGGAATGCACTGCCACAGGGGTGGGGTGGGATGGGGGGGTTAAGGGGGTGGGAGGGATATTGGGATCATTGGTGGTGGAGAATGGGCACTTGTGGAGGGATGGGTACTCGATCATTGTATAACTGAAACCCAAGCACAAAAATTTGTAAGTTTACAAATGTACCTCATGGTGTTTCAGTAATTAAAATTTTAAAAAAAAGAAAGAAAAATGTTCATAATACACCAAATGGAACTTAAGTCAGTGAACTTAAGTCACTTAAGTCACTATACACTATACAGGAAACAAGAGAGTACAGTATTAAACCAAAAACCTTTATAAACTTTATGTGGCTAGGACGCTATCTTAAAAGAGTTTATACTAGAATAAGAAAACATTATAAAACAGTAACATAATAGCAGTTAAATACTCCCAACTCTGTAAATACTGTAGTGGAAAGAAAATACTGCAGGAGTAAAAAAGGAAAGATGCAAAGCAACTGTACAATATAGCTGTCTAGCAAACACACATAATCTACCTTTCACTCGAAGAAGTAACCACAAAATTTCCTGAGAAGAGAGCATATTAGAAAAAATTCAAATCCGAAAGAGTCCCCTGTAGGATAACATTGGTTTGTCCTTTCTCCCTTGCCACAGGGAGCTTAGGTTTACCGGGTTACACCTGTCACAGTGCTCTGGAGTCACTCCCATTCCTCTTTTTATCTGTAAACTCTTCTCTGTATTCTCCTCCCCAGCCAGTTAATCACCTTTTCTCCCTAATCAGATTATGTTAGCCTGTAAAATCAGATCCTTCTAAGGACACTGAACTTGTAAATTATGTCTTTTGCATAGTTTACCTTAAAGCAATGTCCTTTCTGTATGAACACAGGAAGACAGTTAATATTATGCTCTGTAACTTGGGAGTTGATTGACTCCGAATAATATTTACTCCTGCACATCTGCTTTCTTGACTCAGTTGCCCTTAGTTCCTAGCACCCCAAAAGCAGGGTCTCAACGAGGGACTGAATGGACCCAGGGTAAGCTGTGAACTATCCTGGCATCGAAATGGGCCAGGCCAACGCACCACAATACTCAACTATAAGTTGAGGGCATGAACATGGACAAATGCTGTCATGATCCAAAAGTAAGTAACGACGAGACTAGGACCCTGCTGGGCCTAGGAAGACTAACCTGGCCTGACTGCAGAATATATAGTGAGATGTTCTCAGGAAGAAACAAACTAAGTTTC